GTGTGTGTGTGTGTGTGTGTGCATGCGCGCGCGCGTGTGGTTGTGGGGCATGAAATTATTTTTATAAACCAAAAGGGGGCCCATCAACTGGATTATTGTTTACATCATTGTACATTAAGGCAATTTTAACTCAAAAATTATTAGTTAACAATCTAGTAAATATAAAGTTCTTTATTTGAACCAGCACTGTACATGACATTTAACTTACTGAAAAGTATGTAAAGTGATTCTATAAAATTCTAAGTGCAAATGTTTAAGGGCTGAACATATTATAAACATATTAAACATTTCATGGTTAAAATTTTTTTTGACACCTGCCCCTCAAATGGACAACTATGGATCTTTGGCCTTGGATAAACCTGAATGATGAACAGAGAATATTGATTAATAACAGAAATATTACTGATATTTATTAAAAAGTTGTGCAGATTTTTTTAAAATAATAACACATAAACGTCTGCAGTTTCATTAGCATTAGTTGAATCTTATTATATTATTTCACTTAAATATCTAATATGTCTAGTTTTATCTTCCTGAGACCCAGAGTAACCTATTTCACATACTTGGAATGTAACTGTGGTGAAACCGATTAAGTTTAACAGCGGCCTGCCATACTCGTGAGCTTCCTCGTCCTGCTGAAATGATCTGCAGCACTCAGAGCAGAACTTGACTGTTTAGCAAGATGGACTTAAGAGCGATCAGCCTTCCACATCTTCTTTTCATCTCCACAGTTAAAAAGAAAAACATTTTTTTCAGACTCCGATTTGGAAAAAACAAAAAACAAACTACAATTGTTTCGCTATGCGTGTGCGCATACGCGTGTGTGTACACAGGTTTTTGCTCCATGATGGGGACAATTATTGACCATTTCCCTGGACCTGGTACACACAACCAGGTSAGGTTAGGGTTTGGGTCAGGTGTGTAGTCTACCTGGGAGGTTATGTTTGGCTATAGAATTGACGGGGAAATGAATGGAAGTCAATGCAATGTCCCAATGAAGATAGAACAACAAACGTGTGTGTGTGTGTGCGCGCGCAGGAGGTGTGGAGCGGAGCCCGGGTGCAGAGCGCTGTGTTATTAGGAGAGATGAGACTGTTGGCAGGCGACTGTTATGGTTGATACTGCTGGATTCATTTTTTATGGAACATGGAAACTTTTAGTTTCAGCGGGCGACCGCTCCCCCTCCCCCTCGAACGACTGAAAGGTCCAGTGCGAGCAGACTTTTTATTAGTTGCACTATTAGGAAATCAGGTCACATTTTCGACCAAATTGATCGCACTCTAGAGCCCTGACAAGTCTGAAATATGAAAATAAATTTGACATTTACTTAAATGGCGTAAACCGCAAAAATTACTTGGTTTATAAAAATCACCAAGTAGTACACCTGTAAATAAACCTGATAAAAAAATAACAATTTCAATAAACTCCAACTAACGTAAAAATTGCTTTTTTTGTGCAAAAATGCAGAAATAAAATAAGGCTGGAAGGAACATCTGTGTACGCTTTACATCTTTAGATTTTTGGTCAAAAAAAAGTCACTGATGATGAGGAAACTAAGAAACTAATATTCAGTTCTGCTTTCTACTGAATTGGCTATATAATAAATAAATAAATAAATAAATAAATAAATAAATAAATAAATAAAAATAATATTTGTGAAAAAACAACTTTTTTTGATCAAAAAGACCAGCATATTAACTGTATACATGGCAGGATTTTATTGTTTTTAATCGCAAGATGACAAATTATTACCATGGTGAATTTCTTTGACAGTATATCGCACAGAATAACATATTGTCCATCCCTACTTGACCGTTACTGAGAGTTGAAAGTGGTATCAAATTGCAATATTGTGTGTAATTTTTGGGTAAACAACAGATAAATAATGACAAACAAACCACTGCGACCTAGAAGTAAATCACATGCCAAATGTGCTCCCAGACTAAATTCCACACATTAATAAGGAAGTTACAGGACTTCTACTTTTGGTAAAAACATGCCTTCACTGCTTCAACTTTACAT